GGGGGGGGGGGACCTTAGGGCAGATTAAAGCATTTGAAACAAAAATGAAGAAAGAAATAACCCTGTTACATTTTCCTCAAATTGGAGATGAGTGGAGCACCTTGCAAGGTTCACAGCTTGCTTGAAGTTATATGCAACTCTGCCTCCATAGCAATGGCTTGCTTAGTGTGTAAGCTCTGATGTGGGCTTCCAGCACTGCAAGGGAACTAAAGGGAAGCTATTATAAAATCAGTTTGAGGGTGAATTTTTAAAAGAAACCAGTTATTCACTCATGCACTTCCCTTGCCTCACTCTCTAAGTGAATTATTCTCTGCTACTGCTGCCTTTATGTGATTTCTTTCAATTCACCTCCAAAATGGACTAAACTGAATTACTCATGGTGCAAAACACTGAGCCCAAACTAGTCATCTGGAAAGCTAGCACTGAAAATTTCCACATGTAGACAAGCCCTAGCCAAACTAAAATTAAACTGCCAGTGCTGTGACACCTTCTGCTTTCACCTCTGCAAAAAGCTCAATAGACACAACAAAGCTGCTTTCTCTTTTCTGCTTTTCTGCCAGGATGGACGTTTTCACATGTTTTGGTCAATACACATGTTTAGAATTAAACTATGAACTCCATAACCACATCACACACATTAATGTATGTAAAAATATTCAAAAATCTAGCAGCAAGATTGTAAATACACATGAAATACAGTCTGTGTATTTTCTTACTCCACAAAAACCATCCAATCACTAGACTCCTCCCCCCCAAAAAAAACTATGTCTCACCTATTCTCTCACCCTGAAAAAAAAAATTATGCTGAAAAAACATCAAACCTCTCCTCATATTTTCCTTGGTTATTGGGAGACATGTTTCCAACTGAGCAAAATGCAGTACTCACAGAAATCCTTAATATATTTTTCTCAGGTTCTGTCACTTTTGTTCCTTGTTTAACACTTATCTTCTGTCTTTCCTTCACAGTACTTTCAGCCCCATTTCCAGTTAATTTTCCTCCCGCTTTATCCACTTCCTACATATCTCTCTCTTCCTTCCAGTCTCTCTTGTTACTCTCCCTGCAGTACCCCATGTCTTATTTCCCATTCAGAGCTTTCTCATCTGACCTGTTAAGACCTTGTTCTCTGTCTGCTTAATTCCCTGCTGGAATTAGCGTAAAGATCTCATGCTCAGTCTCTCCTCTCCCTGTGGGATCTCAAAAGGTGGAAGAAAAGGGGCAAAGAGAAGAAAGAAAGGGGAAGAAAGTATGAGATGAAAGAAGGAGAAGCACAGGAAGGGAGGAGTGGTTACTATCTAGGTAGATACCCATTCTGCTTGGACCCAAGAGCAGCAATTCCTCAAAGAATGCACAAAGCTAATTAACTGAGGCAGGTCATGGATTTCATAAAGTCCAGCAGAGAACTAAGTCATGGAATCATGGAGGAAATGCCTCCTCTTAAGCATTTTATAGATATCCTCTTGAGATCTGTGGAACTACTTTTGTACAGAGCCTGAGCTGTCAGTGATCATTGTCACGAAACAATTGCCCCACTCCAACAGATTGCTTGTCTCTTTGCATTATATTTGTGTGGTTTGCCTTCTAGGACATGCTGCATGAAACATACCTACACAAAAATGTAAGTGACTTAAAAATGTGATGGCTGCAGTGACTTTCATAGGCAATTTTCATCCCTTGATGGGATATGGGAGACAGCACACACAGATAGAGTGTGGGTGTCCCAGGGAAGTAGAATACCTGTGTTTTCCCCAAGGGTAAATGCTTTTCCAGGCCTATCATATGACTGATTGCACCAGTTCAAACATGCTCAAGTGATGTCTGACTGAAAGTCCTATTATCTTTGCATAAATGCTTTATCTTACATTTATGCACCCAGTGAAGCCATGTTCCTAAAGTATATGCCAGTTTCTTACCCAGTAAATGGAAAGAGACAGGTCCTTCAAAGCTCTCTAAATGGAGGCCATGTCCACATAAGTAGTGGATTCAATTCTAGATTTAGTCTTAAAATTAATGTAGTCTGTTGGAGAAGACAAAAAAGTAAATACATCTTGGTTTTTCATTTAGCATTAACTGGTGCTTTCAGGTTCAATGAACTTGACTAGTCCAGCAGAACGCTGGGCAAGAACTCTTTATTTAAAGGTTGGGAGGAACTTAATGTAGAAATCTGCAAACCATTATGGTGCCTTCATTCTTTTTTTTCCTTCCCATAATCTGAAATATTATATGCATATTCTCAAAGATTTTTATTTCTGGGACAGTGTATCTTCTGCATTTGAGGTTATATAACAATTCAAGTGCTGTTTCATGTCTTCTGTAATTTTTCCTCATCTCATTTTGAGATTTTCAAGTTGTCCTCAGGTGCCTAGATGCAGTTGCCTAGAATGTAAAAGCAGCTCATTGTAAAGCCTACATATAAAGTAGATTAGATGAATTGTACCCTAAAAGTGTCTGTTTCTTTCCATTGACTATTTAGAGCCTGTAGTGACTAGCTCAGCTGTCTTCACTTTATGTCTGCAGTAAACTAAGAATAATGGCTGAGCTAGAACAGGAGACAACATTCAAACTGGTTTCAGTGATGTGGACAAATTAAGGTGCCTCAGACATTAATGGGAGTAGTTAAAGTTTTGTGGACTGCCAAACCTAAAATTATGAACAAGGAACTGAGACTTCTATCTACTGTTTCTTTGCCGAAGTCATGAATTCTTTGAATGACCTTAATTAATGTCATAAATGAGGAATCTGGAAAACAGTGACATCTTATCCTTTTTCAGATGGTTGAAAAAGAATTGTGTGTCAAGTATATAGAAAAAGCTACATTTCTAAAGCTAAAAATGTGGTTAGTTTGTTCTTTTTTCCATTGAATTAGCCTGCAAGCCTTTACTAAAGCTGCATTTGGCTAGCCACAAATTCCTACTATGAGGGAGGACAAGAATGAGGAATGGGCAGGAAGGAGGCAGAGAAGCTATCACATGGGACAAAGGATCACTGGCCTCTCAACAGTAATCAGTCCAGAAGAGAAAAATGCCCATTTATGAGCCCCACCAGCCCCACTTACCAGATGCAATGGGCTTTACAGATTTTGTTGTTGTGACTAGTTCACAACTGTTAGTTTCTTCCTCCTTTTTAAGGAGTCACATATACAAAAGAAAATGGAATTTTTAAGGAGTCACATATACAAAAGAAAATGGAATTTTACCACTAGACCAGCTGTAAACACTATCATTACCTTTGTAAATAGGATTCATGGTTTTTGGCTGTCCTGTGAACTATTATTGACAAAGACTGCAAGCAACACTCTCCCTTCACTCCAGAAAACGCTTTGGCCAAAAACCACCTCTCACAGTATATGTGTGCTGTGCCTAACACTTGGGAATGCCCAGTTCAAATTTGTTAAAGTACTAGCAGCAATGTTAATAGTAGCAATGAAGTAATAGTAATAATCATCATCATCTTCTTCTTCATCATCATTGCTGTCTGTGCCTTTAAACATAATGGGAAAGCACCACATTTGTATGGGGATTGCCCTGACTGAAGTATTTGATAGCAGGGCAGCACAAGCAAATTTCCCCAAGGGTAAATTTGTACATGGCAGAGTAGCTTGCAGGGATGGTGGACTAACTCCATGCAGATTTTATGGGCTCTCTTATCTCTCAGTGAATGTGGTGTCTACTTCAAGTTTATCACACAATAGCCACACCTTAGGTCCCTCATTGCAATAACAAGCACAGAATGACCCTATTATACTGGCATTGTTTAACAACCCTTTACCCTCAGAAGTGTTTCTGGATAACATTTTGACAAGTTTCTTTTTGGATGCATGCCATTCATGCCTCTGGTTGCACTTGCAGCCTTGAAGAGATCTGAGATATATATAGACTTGCTGCATAGGAGTCATCCCACCTAAATTTGCACACTTCTCCTGTAGATACCTACATCTGCTCACCACTTCAGCCTCCCCTTTACAGTCTGTGGAGAGGAAAAGATGTTTTTAGGGCCCAGCTCCTCTGGCCTATTTCATATGTCTATTTCAAGAGGAATTTTTCACACCCTAGAAGGCTAGTCCACTGACTGGAGAAGGAACTTGTTGACTAGCTAAGATATAGGTGTCTGTGTTGTACAGATGAATCCACCCACAATATTTAAGGAAATGTATCACATCCCCCTGTTTCTTCATGAAGCCTGGCACATGTGTATGTGTGTGATACATTGATCCCTGAAAGTGTCTTTGTTCTGTTAAGTTTCCTGGTTTAAGTTTTCATGCCAAACCTATATTTAATTGCAAGTCAGCTGATCACAGACTGTTATTCCTATAGCTGGTGCCCATCTGGACAGCAGTGGCTTTACCCCAGTTGAAAACTGCCCAGATCTCTAAAAGGCCCTAGGGACAGCATTTTTCCATGACACCAAAACCTATGGACAGAGAGCATTTTGGTATCAGAATATTCTGGATATATATTCATATATATCTCTATCCTTACATGCTGCTGAAAAACTTCCAGTTCAGCTTTTCTTCCATAGAATGGTGTGTGGAGCAGGAATTAGGGATTTTCTTTTTCTCTCACAATTAATTACAATTAGGTATGTATAATGGATGGGCAAAAATTTTCAAGTGAATTCTCCTAGTCCATTTTTTTACCGGTCCTGTTATCTATTCTTGGCTGTCATGACTTGTTCTCTTGCAAGGTACTTTCTTTTTTTTTTTTTTTTAATATGATCTCAAAGTACAGTAATTTTCAGTTAGAACAATTGAATAAATTATTTCCAAAAATGAACTGGCATCACTCGTGTACACTGACATTCTCAAATATTCCAAAATGGTATCAGAGCCCAAAATTAGTAGGAAAAGTTTTAAAATTCTGATTTTTTTAGATTTGGATCATTTTAATTTACCTGATGGGCTGCAGATATTTTACTTTTTTCAGATGCATCTTAAAGGATTTTTTTAGCAGACAGATCTTAGGGTTTTTTTTCAGAAGCCACATGGATTTGAATTTGTATTTAACTAAACCTCAAAAGTGCACCTGAAACTCCTGACAAAACCAGTAAAGCTGGTAACAGTGTTTTTATTAAAAACAGAGTTTTTATTAAACTTCATAGTTGGCAAATAGGTTGGTAGGAGTATAGGTATTATGCCAAAATAGCAGACATGCTACTCTAGGAAAGTTCTGTGCTGCCAGGTTATGACACTACAGTATGTAATCACTTTTTTTCTGCTGGTTTACTGTGATCCCTTGACATCAGTGAGCCACATTTTCAAGAATTACAAGATACATAAAGAGGCAGAATGGGATGTAACAGATGAATTAGAAGTTTTTTTGACTTTCCATGCAGCACTCACTTTGACCTATACTTACGGGCAGAAGTGTATTCTTCCCCATGTGCTTCTGATGTATCTCTTTTTCTGAAATACACCTGAACAATGGAAAGACTTCCATGTATACTGAACCTTTTATTATATATCTAGTAAATTCAGTATGTGCACAGTGAATGGCATTAAACAAATCTATCTGTATTTTCACTGGCAATAAAAAAAAAGGCTGTTCATTTTTAGATAAAGAGTTAAGGGTTGTAGAAATACAGCTTCATCCAAGAGAAATATTTGACCATCCATTTTCAAGATTTACAGCTCAGGAAAGAAATTCCTCAAGTAAGATATTAAGGAGCATGCTTTAAAAAACTTAAATGTAAGGCAGTCCTGCAAACTTCCCGTAGGTCTGGGCTAATGAGTAAATCATTAATGAGTAAATTAGACACTTTAGGTAGAAGGAATATTTTTATCATATGAATTCCAATGTCTAATTTTTTTGCTTATTTTAGGAGCCTTTGCTCCATGTAGAGTGCATACAATCCTCTGTGGGTGATTCTTAAGGCGCCCTTGGCTGTACAGGAAACCTGTGTTGCCCTCAGGCATCTACTTTAAATAAGAAGTAAGATACTCTTTTAAGTTAGAGACTGTGGATATTGTCTCTTGAGCAAACTTTCTTCCAGAGCACTGATGGTTTTCATGTTCGACTCGTGACACAGTTTTTTGATCATTCACATGCAGTAGCCTAGTGAACCAAATATTGGTTTCATCTGAGGAAATTAAGAAATTTTTTGCTTTTACTTTTACTAGGTTATGGCTAGCCATCTACTCCATCATCTATTTCTCTTTGGGACTTTTCCTTTCTTCTTTGTTTTATTACATTCAAATTACTGATTGCAAGAAGCACTAGAAAACAGTCACACGTTGTTCTGAAACAACATTGTCTCAGCTGTGGATATATTTGAAAAAATGATTATCCCACTTCTTCCCTGTCCAAACACCATTATGTTTTAGATGTACTCTTATAGCTTGATAGTGTTGTGACAGACATTAAAAGAAAATCTAACAGCCACACAATACTCACAAAATGAACCCACAAGAGCACCACCACACAACAAATGTTTGTGGATTATAATGTCAATACCAGGCAGATTACATGAAGTGCCTGGTAAGCCGTCCAATTCCCCACCACATGCCACTTTGTATGCTCTTTGAATGCTTTCTGTATTTACTTCAATTGCACAGGACACAAAATACACATCCCTATCTTTCCTGATAGCTATCCTCCCCTAGCCTCAGCTGTACCCCTGCCTTGTTTTCCTCCCTTCCTATCACCATTGCATTTTTTTTCTATTTGGAAACTTGGAAGTGTTTCCCAGTAGAGCCAATGGCAGTACTGCTCTGGTAAATCACCCTTGGAAACGATGCATCACAGAAGCCCTTCTCATCTCCAAATCCCATTCTGAAACCAGAAACATCCCAGTTTGCAAGGCATGAGCCCTGTCCTGCCACGCAGGGCCAGTGCCAAGGGGTTGCCATAGGTTGGGGCGGCTCTTGTATCGAAGGAAAATCTCTGTGGTGGCCAGAGGGATGCGACGTTTCGGTGCCCCTGAGGGACGCCCGGGGTGGGGACAGCAGGGTCTTGGCACTAAGCTCGTTGCCTTCTGTTTCCCTTTCAGCCTGAGCCGCCCTCGTCCAACAAGTGGCAGCTGGACAAGTGGCTGAACAAAGTTACCCCTCACAAAGCGCCCATCCTAACCCACCACGATGGCCCGGCGCTGGAAGCCCATCCCTACTACGGCCGGGTGAAGGCAGAGCGGCAGGAAGGACAGAAGACCCCGGCTGAGGGCCCGGCCGAGCACCGCAGTGAGGAGAGCCGCACCGCCGCCGCCGCCGCCGCCGCCGGGGACGGGCCGCGGCCTAGGACCGCCAACAAAGCACCAGGCAGCAAGGGCAGCCGGCAG